AGAAAGAAAGAAAGAAAGAAAGAAAGAAAGAAAGAAAGAAAGAAAGATTCAGAGACATTTAAACAAGCACTTCCAATTTGGAAGTCTGGATAACTCGGAGATTGTTCTCAAAGCATACCTGCAAATTTCATATTCTTCCAGTTCCTGATCTCAGAAAACTGCCATTCAGTGATGGCCATTGGCCTCCGTGTACAGGGTGTTACTGCCAACGGATCCGTGTCTTCTGCAACCCTGGCTTTGCAATCTCATCTGGGGGAAAAAGGCGAAGTGCTTTTTCTTAAAGGAGTACACTACAGAAAAATATAATAATGGGGAGAAGGCAATCGATTTCACAAAAATTGCCTTCAGAAAGGAAAACAGGCCTTAAAGCAACAATGGAGCTCTCTTTTCTTAAAAGCAGATAAAAAGGATTGAACTACATCTGCTATTGACTCTCTGAAAGCCTCTTTCTCAAGAGAGCTGTAAAGGTGTTAATAGGACAATTTTTCTACAAAGGGTGACCAGAATAAAAAAAAACAAAAAAACGCCCCTGCCTTAAAAGAGAGAGAACTTGCTTCAAAAGAAAAGAGAAATATTTCACTAGTTGCAATAAGCAGTTAAGAGGCAGATTAGTGTTTGTCTTCATAGATGGGTCCTCTTATTTATCTCTGATTTTTTTTTAAGAGGCAGGCTTTAAGCAAATGCAAATCAATCATCAAATCAATCCATATGGCTAGACTAAAAAGAAGAGGGAAATGACATATAGAAGCGGTAATTAGCTGATTCTCTTGTTTGAGGTTTGTGGCTTCCTGGCGGTGGGTTTTTGTGGGGTGGAATTGCAGGAAAAAGGAGGAAATAGATGGGGTAGAATTTGGCGTGTTTTTTTCATTTGCACAGATTCTGTTCTAACCAAGGCTTCCTGAGACCGTAATTAAGCACACGCTTAGTCCAAATAACTCTTGTTTCATTTCAGTGCTGGGAATTATGTTCATTCCCAGCCTGTAATGAGTCCCAAACAGTCCCTCAAGATAAGCACCCACCTTTCTCTCCTTTGAATTGCTGCCAACAAGTAAAGTGCCAAATTAACTGTAAAAAACCAACCAGAGCACAAATTCAACACAGAGCTTCAGGTTTCAAACTGACAGTTACAAACAAAAAAATCAGAAAATAAAATACAGGCTGAATAGTCAAGACCTTGTTGATGATCCAAACTCTGTCAAGGATCTTGGAGTACTCATCTCAAATGATCTAAGTGCTAGAGCCCACTGTAACTACATAGCCAAAAAGGCATTAAGAGTTGTTAACCTAATCTTACGTAGCTTTTTCTCTGATAATATTACACTGCTAACTAGAGCATACAAAACATTTGCTAGACCAATACTCGAATACAGCTCATCAATCTGGAACCCACATTACGTATCTGATATTAACACAGTTAAGAAAGTCCAGAAATATTTCACAAGAAGAGTTCTCCACTCTACTCATTGCAGAATACCTTATGCTACCAGACTTGAAACTCTAGACCTAGAAAATCTAGAACTACGCCACCTTCGGTCCGACCTAAGTATAGTATATAAAATCATACATTGCAATGTCCTACCTGTCAATGCTTCAACCATAACAATACAAGAGC